AGAACCGAAAGTGCTTGAAGGTGCAAGTTTACTGACCGCCGAAAACCAGAGAGCTAACTCTTGCTCTCCCGCCCTGCTCTTCACCGCTCGAAGGCCATGGAGTGAGCAATGCAAGACTCCAACAGAGCTTCTGCCGCCTAGCGCAACAACAACAGAAACTACTACGACTACTACAACGGTCTCTGTCGCCAACAATGCAATAACGACTCCACCCTCTTCTTGGGCTGCGGGTAAAGCAACAACACAACCAAGTGCAAAAATCGGTGCAAACGGCAAAAACAAAGCTACGGTAGAAGAAGTGACAATTCTGCAAGCGGGTTCGGCCATTCAGACAGGCATGGATCGCTACATTAATATCTCCAAGCGCAAGCTAACACCCCCAAAAAACTCGGACGGCAATAAGCCCAAAATAAATCGTTCCAACAAAGGCCCTGTAAATCTCGGGCCATTAGATGAAAACAGATTTTCCATTCTGGCGGAGCCTGAAACAGAGTCTGAACAATTAGCCCCAAGGAAACTAAAGCCCCCACCTATTTTTATTCGGGAGAAGATCTCGAATGCCCTAGTCAACAAAATAGTTGAGCTTGTCGGAAAAGATAAATTTCATGTTATTCCGCTTATGAAAGTAAATATAAGCGAAACTAAACTCCAAACCAAAACCGAAGACGATTTCCGAGCAGTGTCGAAGTACTTAAACGATGCCAAAAAGAATTACTACACGTACCAGCTGATAAGTTGCAAAGGTTTGCAAGTTGTGCTTAAGGGAATAGAACCCGATGTGACCCCCTGCGAAATTACAGAGGCCTTAAAAGAAAACGGTTTTTGCGCAAAAAATGTTATAAACATTATGAACAAAAACAAGAAGCCGCAACCACTCTTCAAGGTCGAGCTGGAGCCAGACAGCAGAACTTTGAAAAAAACGCAGTGCACCCGATCTACAAGTTGCAGTACCTTCTGCACCGTAGGATCACAGTGGAAGAGCCGCACAAACGGACCGGACCAGTGCAATGCACAAACTGCCAGGAATACGGTCATACCAGGGCTTACTGCACCCTCAGGTCAGTATGTGTAGCTTGTGGAAACTGCCACGGCTCCGAACCCTGCCCTGCCAACAAGGAAGACTCTCTCACTAAAAAGTGTGTAAACTGCCAAGGAAACCACACAGCTAACTACAGAGGCTGTCCAGTCTACAAGGCGATGAAAAGTCGGATGCAACGAGCAACAACGGCACGCTCCCTGAACACACAAAACACTTACATGAGATCACAAACGACACCGGAAGTTTTCTTCGCAAAAGCAGCCAGATCATCATTTGGCCCTTCAATTACAACCAACGGAATTTCTTACGCCAGTGCTCTAAGATCAGGCACAGCTCACATAGAGCCGAAAATTGATAACATCCAGCAGGCCATGGGACAGCCACAAAGTAACATGGAATCTATGATGATTACTTTGCAACAAAATATGATGGAATTTATGTCCTTCATGAAAACCACCATGCAAACCCTTATGCAAAACCAAAATATCTTACTACAAATGCTTGCAACTCAGCACTCCAAATAAACCATGCCTAGCCTTCGAATAATTTTGTGGAACGCCAACGGTGTTTCACGGCATAAACCTGAAATAACTCAATGCTGGCAGAAACGCATCTCACCAGCAAATATAACTTTCAAATACGGGGATACACGTTCTATGACACAGATCATCCAGATGGTAAAGCGCATGGCGGCACTGGAATCTTAATAAGAGACCGCGTCAAACACCACTTTCACCAACGGTTTGCTAAAAATCATCTGCAAGCTACATCGATAAAATTACAGTTGGGCAACTGCAACCTTGCCATTGCCGCTGTCTACTGCCCACCCCGCTTTACAGTCTCCGAAGACCAATTCATGGACTTCTACAATTCGTTTGGAGAGCGATCCATAGCAGCAGGAGATTACAACGCCAAGCACACGCACTGGGGATCCCGCCTTGTGATCCCCAAAGGAAGACAACTATATAATGCACTCATTAAAACATGCAACAAACTGGACTACGTTTCACCAGGCAGCCCTACATACTGGCCTACAGATTCTGGAGAAAAGACGTTTGAGACGTACTTGGCAAACCAGCAGATCGCCATCCTCAAAACAAAGTCTTAAAGAAGCTGGTCGCAGACTTACCAGGGCTCTACGGCAAGAAGAAGAAAAAGCACAACGCCAGTACATTGAGAATCTTTCACCCACCAGCACTAAGCATTCCTTGTGGAGGGCCCACCCAAAACTAAGTGCGCCGGCCGAAACAGTAATCCCCATAAGAGACTCTTCAGGCAGCTGGGCAAGAAGCGACAGAGCTTGTACATTTGCTTTACACCTTCGAAATGTTTTTCAGCCAAACCCTGCAACTAATTCATTCGCACTACCGTCGCCGTCAATTCGAATTGAATCTGAGACGGAGCCAATTCTGTTTCAACCAAATGAAATTGCAAAAGTAATCAGCGAGCAATTGAAACCAAAAAAGGCCCCAGGCGGTGATCAAATAACTCCCAAAATGTTAATCGAACTTCCAAACTGTGCAGTTGAGGTTATTTGTAAACTCTTCAACGGGATTACACGACTTGGCTATTTCCCAAAAAAATGGAAAAAATCGGTAATCATAATGATCCCAAAGCCAGGGAAAGATCACACTATACCAGCTTCGTATAGACCGATAAGTTTACTCTCGTGTCTGTCAAAACTGCTCGAAAAATGCCTTCTGACGCGCATCATTCCATATCTGAAAGAGCACAACGTTATTCCAGCACATCAATTTGGCTTTCGAGAAAGCCATGGAACAATAGAGCAAGTCAACAGATTAACAACAGAAATAAGGACTGCATTCGAGCTTCGGGAATACTGCAGTGCGGTATTCCTTGACGTTGCACAGGCTTTCGACCGAGTCTGGCTTGATGGCCTTATCCATAAAATCAGAACGATCCTGCCAGGAAACACTCACAGGATACTGGAATCGTACCTTTACAAAAGAGCCTTCGCCGTGAGATGCAACACGACAACATCCGATGACTACGCTATAGAGGCTGGAGTTCCCCAAGGTAGCGCCCTTGGCCCAACTCTATTTCTCCTCTACACCGCAGATATTCCCACGAACGAGCGGCTAACTACTTCTACATTCGCAGACGATACCGCGATCATAAGTCGGTCCAAATGCCCAACTCAGGCAACAGCACTACTAGCTGATCATCTCGTTGTAGTGGAGAGGTGGTTATCAGACTGGCGTATAAAAATAAATGCGCAAAAGTGTAAACACATAACGTTTACTCTTAACAGACAAACGTGTCCCCCGCTAACCCTGAATAACACGCCACTTCCACAAGCTGACGATGTAACGTACCTTGGCATCCACCTAGACAGGAGACTTACATGGCGGAGACATATCGAAGCTAAGAAAATTCACCTAAAACTAAAATCAAACAGTCTCCATTGGCTTTTAAACGCGCGCTCCCCCCTCTGCCTGGACTTCAAGGTCCTGCTCTACAATTCAACGCTTAAGCCAGTCTGGACCTACGGCTCCCAATTGTGGGGAAACGCGAGCAGCAGCAACATCGACATTATTCAGCGAGCACAATCAAAAATCCTGAGAACTATCACTGGGGCACCTTGGTATGTTCGGAACGACAACATCCACAGAGATCTTGGCATTCTACCCGTAAAAGATGAAATATCAAAACAAAAAGCGTCCTACCACACCAAGCTAACTTCTCATCCAAACCAGCTCGCCAGGGGCCTAGCCAGGGCTTCCATCCGGACCCGATTGCAACGCAATGACCTTCCAGCTCAGCAATAGTTATTAGAGCCCCTAAATTTTCGCGCCAGTCACCTTGACTGTCAGATAGCTTTTTAATTTAAGATTCTATATACTTATTGTTAGTCTCAATTCAGAGAAGATCCAATAAATAAAATGCAAATGTTAAAAAAAAAAAAAAAAATTTTTTTTGAATTTAGAGGCGAGTGTCGCCTTTAAAAATGTTCATGAAAAAAAAAATTATGAAAATAATTTTCTAAAATGATGGTGTATTTGGTTGGGGACATAAAAAATGTACCAAACTGGACTATCAGTTTAACAGCTATCTGAATGAAACTTGCCGAAACGTAACTTTTATGGCAGGCGGTGTTTTTAAATTTCCTGCTAGTGAATAAATCATAGGTACAGTGATACCCTCGAGGACAATTGAAAAATGATTCCCTTTATTTTATTTTTCAGGTTTAAATACTATATAATATATATACCAAGGTGCTTAATGCTTTTTTATTACAGTCATTTGTCTGGTTTTTAAGACAAATATCAACGATATATATAAAAGTTTGAGGGCGTCTATATAGACGCCTTTACTTTTCTTTTTATTTCTCTGTTTTTACACTATTCACGAGGGATTCTTAAAAACTATTGATATTGAAACTTTCCCAATAGTACATTTTCAAAAATAAGTTGTCTTGTAGATATTTGCGTATATCTCAATTCTCTTACCAATTATTTTATTTTAGTACCTGCTTAAGCCTGAACCACATTCTGTTATAGATCTTTTGTTTGCTTTAACTTAAAAAGTAAAGGTCTGCTTGCCCAGTTTAGTTCTAAACGCTCAAGATCATTCTCATTTATGTGGCTTCATTTATTTAATATTATGTTTATACTTTTTTTTGTATAGCAGGTTATCCTGGAAAATATCTGTATGTGAACAGCAGCCCTGATTTTTATTTTCCGTTCAAAACACCTGAAATCTACAGATATGTTAAAAAATACAAAAGAACTCATAATCTCAATAGTATATGTGTGAAACGCACCTAGGAATGGAAATTTCTCACTATACATCAATGCTGACGAAAACCGGGCCAAAGCACAAAGCTTGGCTTTGTTTTTTAATCTAACAACTTTTAAAGCCGTACTGAAGCCAGCACAAAAGCTTTAACTTAGTGTGCTACATATACATGTATGTACGAACTCCTCATAAGTAGAGGTGTGTCTGGTCAGACGGTTTAATGTATCGTAAACTTTCGCTTTATACAGACTGGTTTAGCGCTTGATTTCATTTCTGTTAATCTCTACCATTTATAACCCGTGACAAATTTTTTTGGCTGTTTATGATTAACTCCACACAATCTTTAAAATGAGTTTTAATTTTAATTTTGCTATTGTTGTTCTTACGTTAACAACTTTAACAGCTTTTTTTTGTACTGGCGCAGAACAAAAAATTACGACAGAAGAAACTGCCAATGGTGGGGAAATACGTATTTTTAAACGTCTTATTCCTGCCGATGTTCTTAGAGGTAAGTATGGCAATACTAATCTGCAATTACATTTTTTTTTGTATATGCAATAAAAGCATTAGTTAAGTTATATATTTTATAACATTCATATTTGTTGATGGTGTTTCTGCTTTTATAAGAACAACTTAAACCAAAGTGATTATACCTTTGTTAGGTACATATGTATTTTTTTTGTAAAGCTTAAACTCATACATATTTAAATCCAGCTCTACATCCAAGGTTGAGATTTTCTTGAAAAAATGTAATTAATTAGATTTCAAATTTAATTTTTTTTTAATTTTAACCGAATTTTATTATAAATAAAAACTAATTCAAATTAAAACAGAGAATCTAGGTCCTCAATATTAAATTAAATCCAATAGCTAATAAAATAACTTAATTAATTAATTAATAAAAAAATGGAAACTTTCGAGCTTAAAATTTGCTCCAAGATTTCGCAAAAGTCCCTAAACTTCGAAATGCTCATATTTTTTATTGATATAAGTAGAAAGGACTTTACATTATCTGCTAAAAAAATTATTGTTTTAAGTTTTCGTTATAATATCATTAAGGCATTTTGAACGCATTTTAAAAACAAGGAGATAACAAGGATAACAAGGAACGCTATAGTCGAGTGCCACTATAAGATACCCGTTACTCAGCTAAACAATTTCAAAATAAACAACAAAGGAAGCAAGCCGAAGTTTGTATACCCTTGCAGTTATTAAAGCAACAAAACAACAAAGTTATACTTTTTTAAATTTTTTATTTTCCGAATGTTCCTATGGGAACTATATGATAAGTCGCCTGATCCGGCTTGTTCCGACTTATATACTACCTGCAATAGAAAGACAACTTTCTGCGTAGAAACGGACGAACGGACGGACAGACGGACATGACTCTCCTGGTGAATATACATATATACTTCATAGAGTCGGAAATGTCTCCTTCACTGCGTTGCAAACTTTTGACTGAAAAAAGAAAGGAAAGCTAACTTCGGGCGGAGCCGAAGTTGATATACCCTTGCAATGCAAGGCTTGCATATACCCTTATGGCAGCCATAGGATATAATCGGCCGATTAAAGTACATATATATTTTCTTGATCAGGGTCAATAGGGGAGTCGATATAGCCATGTCCGTCTGTCCGTCTGTTTCAATACCATTTGCGAGCTCAGTTTACAAGCTAGCGATCTGAAACTTTCACAGTCGTCCTAAAACATGTTTACGCCCCGATCGGACGTCTAAATCCTATAGCTCCCATAGGAACAATCCGATATACCTTGCAAGAAATCGTATTCTTATACCCTTGCAGAGGGTATTATAATTTTGGTCAAAAGTGTGTAACGCAGTGAAGGAGACATCTCCGACCCTATAAAGTATACATATTCTTGATCAGGATCGCATCCTGAGTTGATATAAGCATGTCCGTCTGTCTGTCCGTCTGTCTGTTTCTACGCAAACTAGTCTTTCAGTTTTAAAGATATCGAATTGAAACTTTGCACACACTCTTCTTTCCTTTGCACGCAGTATATAAGTCGGAACGGCCGGGATCGGCCGACTATATTCATACATATAACCGATTGATCGGAAATGCCATTTTTGGCCAATCAATCCGACCTACCAAATTTCATAAGGATCGGCCGATTATATCCTATAGCCGCCATATAACTGATTAATCGGAAATGCCATAACTTTGGTGTTAGTTAAGTTAGGAAGTTGGGATTTTCTATGGGTTTTATTTATGGCCAATTAATTCGACCTACCAAATTTCATAAGGATCGGCCGACTATATCCTTCAGCTGCCATATAACTGAACGATTGGAAATGACATAACTTTGGTGATTTTGAAAATAAGGAAGTTAGAAATAGTTTTGGAGAATATAATTTACAGATTATTCTGAAAGGGTATATCAACTTCGGCTCCGCCCGAAGTTAGCTTTCCTTTCTTGTTTATACATACATACCTTGATCAGGGTAAAAGCGTGTGTCGATCGGACGTCTATATCCTATAGCTCCCATAGGAACAATAGGGTGAAATCAATTGGATTTATTAGGTCGCTGATGAGGGAGTTTGTTGACTCCCGAAACAGTTTTTAGCATATTTGTTATTTGGCCGTTGTATTAAGAAGACTTCTTCTTTCTACTTTTTGCAATTTTAGCAATTTCGGCAAAGCCTGCCAGGCTATTAAGACCTCGGCTTGCCGAATATAGCTTCCTTCCTCGTTTTTATGTATAGTCGCATAAATTTTCTTAATTTTCTATATTTAAGAACAATAGTATCACCTATAAATACCACCTTAAATGAAAGCGGTCGAAGAGTGGAAGTGCTGGAGGAGACTTACTGGAGAAGCCAATCTTTTGGGGTGCCTCTTGTCAGAGCCAAGTGTTTCTTAGGTCTAAAATGTACGAATAAATAACTTAGAGAAATCGCCTGTCAGAACTAAGTACAGCTATGAACTTAATATTAGCAAATAATTATCAGAGAATTAAAAAAAACAACTGTTAAATTTAAATTGTATTATTTTTTAATTTCTTTGTACAGCGGCTACTTATCTTGCCAAGGTTGTTGATAATATCTTTAAAAGAATCTTTCCCGCAAATACGATTTTTGAATTTTAACTGCTTGTCAACAAACCCAGCTGATTGACAGTACGACCGTAGCACGCTTAATACTGAATTCAGTCACACTGGAAGGATTAAAGTTTTTCCGCTAACGAACTCGTTTGTTGATCTGAGTACTAGTCTCTAGTTATCTTAACTCTGTATTAGTACTCGGGTGACCAATTGAGCAAAGAATATTTTACAGGCGCTATGTACATATGTATATAAAACTTTACTTTTCGCTAAATAAAATTTTTAAATATCAACTTTGATTACTGAAGAAGCTAAATTCCAAACATTTTTAGATTTTCCTGCAATGTGCTTTGCCTCCACACGATGTGCTACTGTTGAGCCCGGAAAGTCTTGGGACCTGACTCCTTTCTGCGGAAGATCTACTTGCGTACAAAATGAGGAAAACGAATTAAAGTAAATATTGCCTTATAATATTATATAATGATTTAAAAATTAAATAAATGTCATTATTCTTAGGCTTTTGGAACTTGTAGAAGACTGCGGACCATTGCCTCTGGCGAACGACAAATGTAAATTGGACACAGAGAAGACTAATAAAACCGCTTCTTTTCCTTATTGCTGTCCCATCTTCACATGTGAGCCTGGAGTTAAATTGGAGTACCCAGACATTGCCAAGGACAATGACAAAAAGAACGTTGAGTAAATAAAAAATATATTTGAGGGTTATTATTACAAAACTGTATCACAATATTTTAAATACAAGTGTTGCTTTTGTCAAAAATAAATTACATATTATTTTACAGTTGAAAAAGGTACTATGAAAGCAATCGACGCTAGTAGTTCTGCAAATCAGTCGATTCTTACGCCCCGCTATCACATGGACAGCGTAATTGCGGTTAGGGCAAAACTTTTTCCAGGATGGGGGCCTAGAGATGAGAAAAAATGAGTTTGTCTTTATGCACTTAAGCATAGTACTCAGATCGACGAAAACTGTTCGTCAGTCATGGGAGATAGCGACAGGCCAACAGGCTTTTTTTCACCTCGGTACTCAGGTCGACAAAAAAATAGCAGAAAATTACTTTGAGTTGCCAACCACCTGAAATGAACTTTAGGTGAACCCTAGCGAAAAGATTAAAAAATTTAATCTTTTGAAAAAATCAATAAAAAACATTTTAACGCAAGCATTATAAAAAGAGCGTGGGAGGAAATTGTAAGGAGTTAAATAACTCCTCACAAATAAATGAGAGTTTGGATAATACAGCTGGTGAGAGTTTGGAGAATACAGCTGGAGAGAGTTTGGAGAGAAGAGAGTTTGGAGAATACTGCTGGAGAGAGTTTGGAGAGAACGAGGAGAGAGAGAGAGTTTGGAGAGAAGGAGTAACGGTAGAACGCGGCGGACTTTGGACCCTAGTATGGTGCCGTGCGCAAAACCGAAAAAGGAGAAGCCGAGAATTAACGGGATACGCCGGCCTATATAAGCAGGCCGAGCGCAGGAAGCGGGATCAGTCGATCACAAGGAGCCAATCCAGCAAGATCAGTAGACAAGCAGCATATCAGTGAACAACACAAGCCAAGTTAACATCAGGAGGAAGCAGAGCCGCGCCGAGTCAACAGGAGCAAGATCGCTACATCAAGACGTTCGGGTCTTATAGTCGAAGCCTCCGAGCTGAAAAACAGGTAGCTGAGGTCTTTAAGGCATCACGCGGCTAAGTCCGAGCGCATTGTTCCAATTTATGTCGCGATTTGAGCTTGGCGTATTGCTCGGCGAGTCCGACAGAAGTGAATAAAAAAGAGTCCTTCGACAAAAAACCGTGGGCTCGGAAGGGAAGTTGTCCACAACCAGCCGCCGTGCGAAATCAATTGGCTTGTCGAATTCCGGTGTGAACCGACAGGCGAGAATTGTGCAGGCCCTGGTGCGACTAGCCACGAAGGACGCGCGTCCGAACCACGGGTGTCTCGAGAGGCGTATGCGTCGAGAGCACAGTAGTTCACCGCCAGAGTCCTAAAAAGGCAGCTGACCAAATCCCGAGAGACAAAGACCCCGCTGCACCTAGTCTCACAAGAACTTGCGGACAACGGAGCCAGGATTCGCGCCGTGAGCAGAGCAAGGACATAAGAAACGACGAGCAATCATCGCAGGCCCAGCGGCAACCAAGTAATACTACGACGTATCCAGTCCACGGCTAAGAGGCGAGGGCGGAAGCGTTCCTCCTGAACCTAGCGTCCTGCCACAGGGACTGCATTGGCGGCCTTCCGGCGTATGCCTGAACCGTCAGGTAAAACTGTGTAGGCGTCTGGTGTGACCGGCCGGGACAGATCCAGGGACGGGAGGCTGTGGCTGCGAAAGGCGCATGCTTTGAGAGCCCAGTTCTTGTTCACCCTAGTCTAGGAACGGTAACGCATCCCTAGACCCTCATAGCCCCGAGGCCAAAGACAACGGAGGCGTTCCGAAGCAGCGAGCAACGAGGCAGCGGAGAGCGACGGTGGAGCAGCCACAATTCATCAGGGAAGACGTTGAGACAACCATCTATCACCATTAATCCCAGGCCGAGGGACAAGTCGGCAAATAAAGATCCTAGTAAAAACATTCTAACATTCTGTGCGTTCTCACTAGACAATCGGGCGGTCACGTTTATATAAGTTTGGTGGGACAAACAACACACATCTTCTGAGCTAGCCGCACGATACTCTTAGCGAGCAGACCATAAAAATCAGTTCGTTACAGTACATACATATATAACACTCGTTGGAGTTCACCGTTTGAGACGGATGATAATCAGAAATATTTTGCAGGAATAAACAAGAGAGAACGCTATAGTCGAGTGCCTCGACTATTAGATGCCCGTTACTCAGCTAAACAACTTAATATAAATATGCCTTCTTGTATGTTTTTCGCCGCTCGATTTAGCTCCCGATTTTTATGTTAAAATCGGTACCCAGGGAACACCACGTGGAGGCCGTTGATTTGCCACGTGGTCTTTCAAACCAAAATAAAATTTGGGGACCTACGAGTCGCCTTGAGTTGCCAAGCTTTATTCAAGTTTGGAATCTCCATGTTCCCCAAAATTTTGTTTATCCGTAACATACGGAGGGCATACTTATGTACTTACTACTAATACTACTAATACTTATTTGACCTTACTAATTAGTTTTTTTTGTGGTTTTTGCGTTTTGCGGCCCATGAAAGGCGGAAATGTAGGTGCTAGCCAAGCTTAAGCGTTTTATGGGTTTTTGGGCGTTAGAGTGGGCGTGGCAAACTTTTATTAGGCCAATCGATAGGTATTGACGAAACAAATACATATCAATTAAAATTTTCATAATAGCATAAAAACTGTAGCCACAGCTTGTGGCTTGTGGGCGTCAGAGGGGGCGTGGCACCATTTTGAAACAAACTTGCGCTGCGTAGGAACTCCTAAAATCTACATGCAAAATGCCAATCTTGCAATCTTATAGTTTCCGAGATCTCGGCGTTCATACGGACAGACAGACAGACGGACAGACGGACATGGCTAGATCGACTCGGCTAGTGATCCTGAACAAGAATATATATACTTTATAGGGTCGGAAACGCTTCCTTCTACGTGTTACATACTTTTGCACGAATACAATATACCTCTTTTACTCTACGAGTAACGGGTATAAAAATCGGACGACAACTGTCTGACTACTCGGGACTTCACAATCGCCTATAAACAACAAACAATGGGCTCTGAGACTGGCGATAAATAACTTATCCAGCAGCAGCAACAATGGTGTCTGTAACGATTCTTTTGCTTTTTGTTTGTTGACGCAAATAAATTGTATAAGTTAATTTTCAGGAAAATAAAAACCCATAAAAAAATATTTGAACATTTGATTTAAATCTATATATAAAGCTATCAGTAAGAAAACTGCGAACCCACGCAAAGCCAAAACCACTGGTTAACAATATTAATATGCATTTTTATTACATTCTAATAACTTTAATCTGATTTGCTCAGATTTATTGGGGTTCCCCAAGAGGCCCCAATCGCTTCCAATTGGAAAAAAGGTCAATTTTCCTTTCAAAAATTCTGGACGCTAAACCGTTTAACCAATCGAATCCGTGTTTCGCCCAAAAATAGTTTAAGACATTATAAATGTTTAAAAAATTTGACCGCTTAGATTTAAGGCTTTTTACTATTTTTAACACCCGTTCTAAAATTACTATTTAGCCAAAAATATCTTCAAACGTCGAAAAATGACACTTCTAAACTGAGTATCAAAAATTCCATCAGTAAAGTTTTTCCTTAAGCTTTAACGATTCATTTGATGGTTTCACCAAAGCTCTAGCTATCTTCTAAACAAAGCAACTAAGCAAAAAGTCGATCTATTATCGAATTTAAGTGTCTCCATAAGCATCATTCGTTTTCTGCCTTCATATTGCTATCTCTCTTTGCATTTTCATACAAATTGTCAACAAATGATTCCCTAAAAATATAAAATGAGCTTTAATACGGTTTTAATTTCTGTAGACTTTAGTTTATAGTTATTGGTGACCCACCCCCCACCAAAGTGTAGGCCTATTTGGGGGATACAACATTAAAAAAAACGCGCCGTATCCTCTACCTCCGGGTGGTGTGGAAATGAGGGTTAATTAAAGTTTCAGCCAAACCTACAAATATATTTAAAGTAACATCTAAAATGCAAAATTACATAGTTCTACTGCAAACCTATTACATAAAAAAAGTAGGATATTCGGGTTATCCAAAGCGAAGCTGCGGGCACCCTGCTAGTTATTAATATATAAAGCCTAGTACTCAGATCGAAAATCTAGTTCGCTAGCGGAAAAACTTTAATCTTTCCTGTGTGACTGCATTTTTTGAGAGTTCATAAGAGCGTGCTACGGTCGTACTGTCAATCAGCTGCGCTTGTTGACAAGCAGCTTAAATTCAAAAATCTTATTTGCGGGGAAGAGCCTTTATGCCCTCTTCCCATTGAGTCCAACCGTTCGAAACGGTTGGGATTTTTGTCAAATGTGAAACTCCGATGCCCACAGAGCACATCCACCATCCGATAACAGCTAATCTGAACAGCTGTGTCTTATCATTCTAGTCTGTTGCATTTTGCACAACATTTAAAGTGACCACAAGAGCTCTATAAATGATACTTGGTAACAGACTGCAAGTGATCTACGCGAACAACCAAAGCGAACTAATACGTCTGCAGATTTTTGCCAGCCTGCAGACAAAATATGAACAGCTATTGCCCAATATTGTCTAAATGGTAACAAATCAAGTTCATTATATCTAAATGTTTGTTGTTTGTTTTATTATAATTTCATATTTTATTTCATTTTAAATGTTCTGCTCCATGTTGTGAGTACGGTATGCGCCTAGGAAAGAGTGGAGCGACACCTAATGCTGCCACACGGATGGAGCAGAAATTAATTAATTATTACAAGTATAAACAGCATTTTTTGAATTGGCGCCTTCCCTATTCAAAAGTTACCAGCCATTATTTTTTTTAATTTTCGAAGTGAATGTTCCAATTTCCACTGTCAAGAAGAAGAACTCAGAGTTGCACCAAAAAAACATCGCCTAACTATCGAACTGGGAATTTTCGGAACGGCAAAACCTTATGGACCATTGGTTCAACGGATGGTGGATGGAGCTCTGTGGGATGAGGGCATTAGAATAAAAATAAGCAGCTAAAAACTTTATATTAACAATTAATAAGTAGTGAATTAAAAAAAAAAACAATATTTAAATTAAAATACTATTGTTTTTTGGTTTTGTTGTACACCGGCAGACTCGTATTGCCAAAGTTATCCGTGTCTTGAAGCACAAAAAAGGCCTATTTTCGTGAATTTTTTAAAAAAAATTTTAAAATTTCATTTATTCTACATTTGAACAACATTGTGTACAAATTTGAACAAAAAATATTACAAAATGAGCCGTTGAGGCAGGCTTGAACTTGACCACACCAAAAATTGTGTAGGCATAATATCTCCGTCAATTTCTATTTGAAATAAAAGAAAACCAAGTTTTTCTGTTAGTGTATGAATTTTGAATTTTTTGTAGCGCTTTTCATAAAAAGTGTAAATTATTAAGTAAATTTTGGCCATATTTTGGCTTATGAAATGAGTTGTATTGAAGATTAAAAAAATCATTTTTTTCAACGACAAAAAAAACATGTCTAAAAGAAGAGTTCAAAAGCAGAAGTCGATCGGTGCAATAGTTTTTAAAAATGTGGTTTTGAGAAAAACGTGCTTAAAGTTTTAAAGCGGACACAACATTTCTCCCATTCCTACAGTTTTGCTTCGATCGACCTGAAATTTACGGACAACATTCCTGACACTTTGTACTATTATATAAAAAAGTTTAAAAAAAATTAATTTTTTGAAGTGTCAAGACCCGGATAACCCCTTAAGGGCCTTTCCTGTAGATAAGTTTTTTTCAATTTTAATTGTTTGTCTACAAGCGCAGCTCATTGACAGAAGGACTGTGGCACACGCAGTTGTGATGAACACTCAAAAATGTTTTTAGACTGGCATTAAAGTTTTTCCGTTGGTGAACTTGTTTTTCGATCTGAGTACAGAGCTTTATGAAAATAGGGGTTTCCCGAGCTTACTCTAGCTTCGGTAGCATCAAATTATTGAAGTCCATCTGCCTGATTTAAAATTTCGGCAGCACTGTTAATCCGAAAACAGCTTTTCCTTTTTCCAATTATATAAAAATATTAAATGTAATTGCTAGTCACTCAATGTCATGTTTAAATATATTTAACTATAAATTGAATTCAGTAAAAAGAAAATCGAAGAGATATTAAGTAGAGGCGGCTGTTCTAAGTTGTAAATATGTAAAGATGCAATAATGCAGTCCCAGTGTAAACGGGGATATAAAACAGCTGTGATAATCGGGAGCATCATCGCATCATGTTATCGAAATACAATAATACCCAAATTGAGCATAAGCAAAGCAAAAAAGAATGGGGTCTACAATGGTAAAACCATTGGTTAAAAATGGAAATTTGTTGGATGCATTGCCTTCTCAGGTAGTTCAAAAATTATTTCTCAACTTGAAATAAACAAAGCCATTTTTAAATTTAAGGCAACACTACATGTAGTTATGTTAGGTTTGGATTCTGCGGGGAAAACCACGGCATTATACAGACTAAAGTTTGATCAGTATTTAAATACAGTGCCAACTATTGGGTTCAATTGCGAAAAGGTTTGTGAATAGATGTATATTAAAAAATTGTCTTATATATGTTACTAAAAAAAAGTCATTTTCTAGGTACAAGGTACTATTGGCAAAGCAAAAGGAGTTCATTTTCTCGTTTGGGATGTGGGAGGTCAAGAAAAACTAAGGCCACTTTGGAGAAGCTATACACGGTATTATATACATATTTAATTATTTAAATTGTCGAATGTCTTTATATTGCCTTTAGTTGCACCGATGGCATATTGTTCGTTATTGATTCTGTTGATACGGAACGCATGGAAGAAGCAAAAATGGAATTAATGCGAACGGCTAAATGTCCAGATAACCAGGTAAGCAGCAACATCACAATTCTTAAACCCTGTGTAAAATATGGAGGTATCATCGGAAAACCTTGCACTCAAAGTTTAATAAGGATAAATTTGGAAGATAAATTATGGCAATAAATTTGTTCAAAAACCAAAAGTATCAAAGTTTCCATAAAATATGAGCTTACAAAAGTATTGCAGAAGAATTTTCGTCAAAACAAAATCGTTCGTATCGGGGGGTATGGTATTTACATTTTTTTATTATTTATTTTTCTGAATGCACATCTCGAGAATATTGTGTACAAATTTTAGATCGATCCGAGTAAAACTTCCGAACTTATGGGCAGTTGAACGTAGGTAAGTAAGCGCTTTTTATACCCTAGCAGAGGGTATTATAATTGATTAAAAGTGTGCAACGCAGTGAAGGAGACATCTCCGACCCTATAAAGTATATATATTCTTGATCAGGATCACCTCCCGAGTTGATATAGCCATGTCCGTCTGTCCGTCTGTCTGATTCTACGCAAACTAGTCTCTCAGTTTTAAAGATATCGAACTGAAACTTTGCACACACCCTTCTTTTCTTTGCACGCAGTATATATGTCGGCACGGCCGGGATCGGCCGACTATATCCTATAGCTGCCATATAACTGAATGATCGGAAATGCCATAACTTTGATGTTTGTAAAGTTAGGAATCTGGGATTTTCTATGGGTTTTATATTTGGTTAATCAATCCGACCTACCAAATTTCATAAGTTGGGATTTGCTATGGGTCTTATATTTGGCCAATCAATCCGACCTACCAAATAAGGACCGGACGACTATATCCTATAGCCGCCATATTACTTATTAATCGGAAATGCCATAACTTTGGTGTTTGTTAAGTTAGGAAGTTGGGATTTTCTATGGGTTTTATTTTTGGCCAATCAATCCGACCTACCAAATAAGGATCGGTTGACTATATACAGTAGCTGCCATATAACTGAACGATTGGAAATGCCATTACTTTGGTGTTTTTAAAGTTATGAAGTTTGGATTTTGTATGAGTATTAAGAATGCATCATATGAATAATTTTGGAGAATATAATTTACAGAGTATTCTGCAAGGGTATATAAACTTCGGCTCCGCCCGAAGTTAGTTTTCCTTTCTTGTTTTTAGATATTTCAGTGCTTGATTTAGATTCACCATGCTTTAGCTTATTGTTATAATAATTAATCAAACAGTTGTAAGTTCCAGTTTTATAACTTTGTTAATAGTGAGTGGAAATCTAAAAATGACGGCAGCCACAGTACAAACTATGGTCGATTTCCAGCCCACTTAAGCCAAAGTAGGTTTTATCTGTTTAAGCCTGTTTATTTGCAAGTGCCCGATGATGTTCCTAAGTTTTTGCTTAGGACTGGGCTGTATAACTAAGCGAAGCCACTCTCAAATAATTAATCTTATCATTGAATCCGTCCCAATTTCCCCGTATTTGAAAGGTATCATTTGTAATTCCTCTTCAGCAGAAAGGTAACATGTTAGATGCCAGAACTAATAGAAAGTTGCCGGATATTCCAAAGGATATTTCGTGCCATTTAGACTTACAATCCTATGTATATAATTTTTAAAACTGGTGGCGGGATACTAAATTTACTAAATTTAAACGGCTCTTTTAGCGGTTCAATCCGAAAACAATCGGAAACAGAATAACTCTTGGGTCATTTTGGACCCAAAACTAAAGTTTACTGATCGTATTTCGTCTATGGTTAATCCAGAGGAGTGGTTGGTTTTATTAAACCGTGGTCGAAAGAATTTAATGATCCTAAGTCACTAGCACCTTATTTATTTCGATAGTACGTCCGATTCTCCCGCCTGGAGGCCACAATCAGTAAGCTTAGTACTCAGATCGACAAACGAGTTCGCTAACGTAATGACTTTAATCTTTCCGGTGTGACCAAAAGAGTGCTACGGTCGTACTGTCAATCAGCTGGGTTTGTTGACAACAAGCTGTTAAAATTCAAATATCGTATTTGCGGGAAAGAGCCTTTAAAAGATATTATCAACCTTGGCAAGACAAGTCTGCCTCTGAAAAAAGAAATTAAAAAACAATACAATTTAAATTTAACAGTTGTTTTTTTTATATTTACTGATAATTATTTGCTAATTTAAAGTTCATAACTGCAATTTTATTGTGTTTTTTCGAACATTTTTGACCTAAGAAACATTTTGCTCTGACAAGGGCAACCCCAGATAGTATTAATGTTATTTTCTCCTCACACGAAAACTTCTGCATCGACTTTTGCGGGTTTTTTTGATTTTTTCCCTCCATTTTATTAAATGTTCAGTGAGAAGCGCACGCCAAAACATTTAATTTTTTAAGCCTAGTACTCAGATCGACAAAAACTGTCCGCCAGTCATGAGAGAGAGCGTGAAGCAAACAGCTGGTGTTCACTTTTCGTCAGGTATTTTTTACACCTCGGTCCTCAGATCGACGAAAAAATACCAGAAAATTGCATAGCGTTGCCAGTCTGCGGAAATGAACTTTGGTTGAACCCTAGCGAAAAGATTAAAGCCCAGTACTCAGATCGACAAACGAGTATGCTAGCGTAAAAACTTGAATCTTTCCAGTGTGACCAAAATTTCGAGAGCTCATCACATTTAAGCGATCCCGGCCGTTCCGACTTATATACTGCGTGCAAAGGAACGAAGGGTGTGTGCAAAGTTTCAATTCGATATCTTTAAAACTGAGAGACTAGTTCGCGTAGAAACAGACAGACGGACATGCTTATATCAATTCAGGAGGCGATCCTGATCAAGAATATATATACTTTTTAGGGTCGGAGATGTCTCCTTCACTGCGTTGCACACTTTTGACCAAAATTATAATACCATTTGCAAGGGTATAAAAACCTCAATGAGGTATAAAAGTCGTGACGATCGCACTTTCAACATATAACACCGTTCAACACGCAAAGCAATTTGATGTAATCTTCACTGACTTAAGTAAAGCCTATGATTTAGCCAACCATCACCTTCACAAGCTTCTTCTTCTCGAATTTCCTCCAAATATACTGATAAGGATTAATTACTGTTTAACAAATCGTATCTTTTGGTCCCATACAATAATATATTTTTCAAAGCTGTATCTGTAATTTCAAAAACATTCATATTGGTAGTTTATATTTCGCACTATTTATTAACTTTGCCCTCCAGAATTCATATGGATTATCTCAAATGCATATACCTAGTTCCAGTACTCAGCTCCAGATCGACTTCTGCCTTCATTCTGGTTTCAATTCTAGCACCGCAAAGCTATTTTATGATTTCCTAGTTCGTCCTACGCTAGAGCACTGTTCCAGTGTATGGCTCTCAGAATACGATTGTTATCAAGATATTATAGAACCAGTTCAGAAACTGTTATTTTATTTCTCCTCCTTCACAAGCTCGCAGGTCAGACTACTGCCGTTTTGATTAACACGGGGGTTACGTTCCAAGAAATCCTGGTGTTAAACGAAATCGTGTTAAGCAAAACATGGATTCAAAATTGGCAGACAAAAAAATTTTGTATTGTTCAAATTTGGTCTGTTTTTACAGTTTTATACAGTTGTTCAAAATTAACCAAATGTTATTAGGTATATAAAAGTTGGTATTAAATAGAAAAAGTTGCTTCATTTTATTAATTAACAGGTTCAACTTTAACAAAATGTTAGAAAGTAAAGAGATCATATGTTTCTATTCATATCAAATTTGAAATGCATTTGGTGGCATTTATAGTTTAAGCCAGTTTTTTAAATATTTCAGACGTTGATGCACTATGATCAGCGCAAAAAAGTGGTCCTTTCGACACCAAGCAGTGCTTGTTACGCGCGTAAAAACGAGATCGCGAGAAGTGAAAAAGGACAATATGGAAGCGGACAGACTCAGTTAGAAATACGTACGAGACTAATACTAATACTAATTTTGTGCTAATTAAGATAAAATTGCTTTTAGGCTTGACAAAGAGTCGATAGTAGAAATAACATACTATAGTCTATTATTGTCGGTACACAGTACTCTAAACGGTTCATGCATATCATAGTTAGATCTACAAATATTTAAAGGAGAAGTCTACTAGAGTAGGATGGTAAAATAAGGCTTGCATTCCAGTTAAGGCCCCGTAAAGCAAATAATAAAAAGTTCTTTTGCACAGACTCTATCCGGTCTATATGTACACCATACTGAGGACTCCAAACTGCTGAACAGTACTCCAGGATTGGAGGGACTAGTGAAATGAACAGAGTCTTTGTAACATTGGGATCATCGAATTCCTTTGACCACCTTTTAATAAATCCAAGTACTCCCCTGGCTTTATTCACCATAGAAGTAATATGGTCATAAAACTTAAATTTTAGGTTAAGAAGGACGCCAAGGTCATCAACATGCGTAATTCTAGACAACGCACAACCACCCAGCGTATACGTGCCATATTGTGGGTTCACTCTAAAAAATGTCATTACTTTGCACTTGGCGCTATTTAATTACAAAAGATTTTCACAACACCATGTTTGAAAAGCATTTAGGTCCGATTGTAAGTCTGAGCTGCTGGAAATTTCGTTATATTGCAGACATAACTTAACGTCGTCTGCGTACATAAGGACATGCGACCTTTTCAGGACTAGAGGGAGATCGTTTACTTGTGGGACGCCTGAAGTAACTCTGATCAAAAAAGAGATCATGTTTTTAAAGAGGACTCGTTAAGTCCTACCACTTAGATGACTTAAGATCCATGTTAGAAGATCACATGGAAACCCTAATAGATCTAGCTTTAATACAAGAAGCGAGTGATTTACTGTCATGTTCCTTTTTAAGCTTTTTATTTCAAAAGACGTTAGCTCCAAGAGGTTTGTCGTCGTAGATCTTCGCCTTATAAATCCATGTTGAGATATAATGTTGCAAGTGGGGTGTAATAACGGATAGTTTGCCTCTGTATTTACTTGTAATGCATTTATTTCCTTTCTTATGAAGGGGAATAACAAATGACTCCTTCCAAATAAGTGGGAAATGAAAAGTTTTTAAAGACAAGGTAAACAATTCGTGCAGAGGTCTACACAGAGTTTCAGCACAGTATTTAAGCACGCAGCCTGGAACTCCGTCCGGTCTAGGTGAATAGACTGGTTTAACTTTATAGAGATCCAAGAGAAGGGAGCTTTCGCTTAACCTCGGACAAAAAATTAAATTTGACTTGGATATGGAATTTGAATAAGAGGGATTTTGACTGAATGAAACAGAATATGTTGTCTGGAAAAACTCTGCAATTAGATCGGCAATTGCCTGATCAGTATTTGCCGAAGAATTTTATTATAGCGATGCAGGGTAACAGGCTGATTTACGCTTAGTGTTAACAAAATTATAAAAATTTTTTGGATCTTGTAAAAATTGGACCCTACAACGAGTCAGATAGCTTTAATATCACCGGGCGTTAAGAACGGTACAATTTGACCGAGCCCTTAGGTATCGAGAAAAGGCAGATTGTGAACCGCACATTTTAAATTTATTGAAAGCCTGGACTTAACATTTTTTAGGTGTGACAACTCCTTATTAAACAATGGAGGATTATTTAATATTATATTAACGGCCTCCGACACGTTAGTGCATGAATAAAATTCGGACCAGTAAATATAAAATTATACAATACAAGTCCGCGGTTCATTGTTTAAATAATAATTTACACACATAAGTATACAATTTGTTAACAAAACTTAATATAACCTTAAACCATATAAAACATAAAAAAATATTTTTATTTACTTTAAAGGGTGTTCCCGTGCTGATATTAGCAAATAAGCAGGATCTTCCAAACGCATGTGGTGCAAAGGAGCTGGAAAAACTTTTAGGACTTAACGAACTTTATAATCCAGTGCCGAATATATCAATGCTAACAAGTTCCGACTCTTCTTCGGCAATCAACTTAATCGGGTGCAGCGTGTCAAACCAAAGTATTACAGAAAGTCCGTTAACAGAACAAACAGCGAGTCACTTGCATTCATCAATGATTCACATTAAACCTGCTGAAAGCAATGACCAAAATTCCACATTAAGTGGAGGATCATTGCCGGCATTCATTTATCCGCATTCTTACAATGATTCTTCTGTATTGGACCAAAAAATTCAGCGTGACGTTAAAAGCAGTTTTCATAACAAAAAACATAACAGGACAATTTCCAACTCGGTGCAATTTAGAGGGTGGTATATACAACCAACCTGCGCTATAACTGGCGAGGGTCTTCAAGAAGGCTTGGACGCTCTATATGATATGATTTTGAAACGCCGAAAAATAAACAAATCTCATAAGAAGAAGCTGTAGCATAAGTAATCGGCAGTGCTTGTCTGTCATTGTTTTTTTCTTAATTTTAGCACAATTTAATAAATAAAATCGCACAATATAGTGATGTTTTTCTTTCCATTTTAAATCCCAGTACATCATTTAATCTATCTAAGCATGCCACATCTAAACTATTTTAATAATATGCTTATATTTAAAGTATATATAAGTAATTTACAATTTTTTAAGCTGACACACTGAAAATCTAATATTTAGAATGGTAAAATGTAAGTATAATTTTATTATTTCACTAGTTTACAAAAGAAAAAGTGTTATATACCGTTAGACAGCTTGTTTTTTTAAAATATAAACAATAAAGGAAGCAAACTTCGGTAAGCCGAAGTTTATATACCCTTGCATATTTTACGAATCTCCTACATTTCGTTTTCTATGCCTATATTACTAAGAAGTGATTTTACTCTGCATTTTGCCATCGTTTCTATGGCAGGTATATGATATTGTTGTCCGATCTCAATTTAATTAAAAGCATAAATCCATAATATATATTTAAATATTAGCAAATCACAAAACAAAAAAAATAATTAAAAACAACTAAGTTATAATATTTTTGAATTCTTTTTTCCGATTGTTCCTATGGGATCTATATTATATAGTCGCTCGTTCCGACTTATTACCTGCAATAGAAAGACATCTTTTGGGAAAGAGTCAAGTATATAGCTTTAAAACTAAGGGACTAGTTTGCGTACAAACAGACGGACGGACAGACGCACGGACGGACGGACAGACAGACATGGCTAGATTGACTCTCCTGGTGATGCTGATTAAGAATAAATATACTTTATAGGGTCGAAAATTTAATACCCTCTGCAATTGTATAAAAATAAACAAATAATATTCTTTGGAAACTATTGCGAGTCGCTTATATAAATACCCTTTTTGTTTTTCTTTTTTTTATACCCTTGCAGAGGGTATTATAATTTTGGTCAAAAGTGTGCAACGCAGTGAAGGAGACGTCTCCGACCCTATAAAGTATATATATTCTTGATCAGGATCACCTCCTGAGTTGATATAGCCATGTCCGTCTGTCCGTCTGTATGTCCGTCTGTCCGTCTGTCTGTTTCTACGCAAACTAGTCTCTCAGTTTTAAAGCTATTGAATTGAAACTTTGCACACACCCTTCTTTCCTTTGCACGCAGTATATAAGTCGGAACGGCCGGGATCGGCCGACTATATCCTATAGCTGCCATATAACTGATTGATCGGAAATGCCATAACTTTCGTGTTTGTAAAGTTAGGAAGTTGAGATTTTCTATGGGTTTTATATTTGGCCAATCAATCCGACTCACCAAATTTCATAAGGATCGGCCGACTATATCCTATAGCTGCCATATAACTGATTGATCGGAAATGCCATAACTTTCGTGTTTGTAAAGTTAGGAAGTTGAGATTTTCTATGGGTTTTATATTTGGCCAATCAATCCGACCTACCAAATTTCATAAGGATCGGCCGACTATATCCTATAGCTGCCATATAACTGATTGATCGGAAATGCCATAACTTTCGTGTTTGTAAGGTTAGGAAGTTGGGATTTTTTATGAGTATTAAGAATGCATTATATGAATAATTTTGGAGAATATAATTTACAGAGTATTCTGCAAGGGTATATCAACTTCGGCTCCGCCCGAAGTTAGCTTTCCTTTCTTGTTTTGTTTCCTTTTAGCATTATTTTGGTTTTATGTTCCTCAGAATCAGAGAAATGGACTGAACGCTATTTTGATATCTTATATTATTTTCTTTTTCATGGCTGTACTACCTGTTAGTCGAGTACTTAGACTAAAAGAGTAAGTTCTATTCGTTGGAAAGTATGTAACAGGTAGAAGGAAGCGTTTCCGATCCTATTAAGTATAAATACTCTTGATCAGAATCCATATGCCATCGAGCTCTCGGAAACTACAAGAGCCGGGTTTTGGGGACTTAACATGAATATTATAGGTTTTCTTAAGCAGCGCAAGTTTATTTCGACGCTGACATGCCTCCAAATCAAAATGCTCCATCAACTGGCTTAAATACAAAAAGTATGTGAGTTCCCACATTTAACTTGCCCCTCAGCTTAATATGGAATCGGACATCGACTACACACTGTAGCTCTGAAAGACGTACTCGTTGCGGCAGCCAAAGTCTCCACACCACAAGAAAAGGAAGTCGTCAATGCATACAAATACTATAAATCTAATCAGTAAATCAGTAAGCTGGTTCGGAAAAAGGGGTGTATGCGACATGCCTGGCAGACCAGCAGATCGCCATCTTCAAAGCAACGCCTTAAGAAAGACATCCGCTCTCTCGACATGGCTCTGCAGCAACAAGCAGAAAATGAACAGCTGCGGAAAATCGGAAAACTCTCGCCAACCAGTACAAAAAACCTCCTATGGAGGGCTCACCCAAATTTAAACGCTCCTATCGAAACGATTACCTTTCAGGAGGCTGTGCCCATAATTGGGTTAAGGAAGCTTTGGGTCTTTAGAAGCACACAGAAACACTGCATGAAACACAGTATCACATCATAAGCTCGCCTTAACGTGCAATTGTAACTTAAACAATAACTATGTTAAGTAGTATCGACGCACGCTTGCAAATATATTAAACAAAGTTGTGCGTTGATTTTACATAGTGAGTTGCAACGGGGGCGCAAGTCTGAAATATTTGCGTAGAAACGCGCCGGCACCACGGGGCCGCGCACTTCTCCAGTAATCAGGCGATCAAGCCACAGCACTTGCATCCATCAGCACTGTGCGCATCGTGCGCAGCCACTAGTGCCGCCACAACTCCAGTAAAAGTGGAAGAGTTTCTTACAGAGGTGGCCAACAACACTCAACACACCGCAATGGCGAGTGTTGGTCATCTCGAACCATTCAACGAGGGACAAGCACAGAAACAACTACATGGAACTATTTGAACTCTACATTTTGGCCAACTCAGCAACAGCCAAAAAAGCAGCGTTCAGCGTGGCCTCACCAAAACAGATAAGTGAATTAAAGCCAGCGGAAATTTACCAACCATTAACCAGTCATCTATCGCCCACATTTTATCAATTCCACAAGTTAGATCCGCAACCAGGCGAATCAGTCAGCAGTTACATAGCAGCGCTGCGGGCGTTGACAGTGGACTGCCAGTTCGGATCAGCTTTGAATTTCATGCGACATGACGGACAAAGGATTGCAGAAATCATGGCGGAGATAGATCTCACCATGCAGCTAGCTGCCGATGGAGCCAAGACCAGCGAAGTTGCATCGATCAGTGCGATGGCCATCAGGCATCTAAACAAAGGTATCACCTGTACCGAACATCATCGGCGGCGAGCCGAAGTAGTTATCCGAGTTACATTCCACCATGACATAAAATCGATCCACCAGGTGGTTCCACTGATCGATCAGAAAAAAGCAGTAGCCATCATCATGAACAGGCGTCCATGCTCGCCAGCACATTTGCCAACCACCTTAAAAATGTCTTCCAACCAAATCCTTCCACTAGTGAGCCTCAGCTTCAACATTGAGTTTCGCCAAACGAAATCGTTAACATCATCAAAAATCAGCTGAATCCGAAATGATCATTGAGCTCCCATATTGCGCCGTTTGCACTATTACCCAGCGTTTTAATGCCATCGCAAAACTTGGCCACTTTCCACTGAGATGGAAAAAGTCGATTATAACAATGATAGCAAAGCCGGGAAAAGATCACACAATCCCCAAGTCTATACGTCGTGTCTATACCTATAGCCTACTTTTATGCTTATCTAAACTCTTTGAAAAATACGTATTGACTCGGATAATCACATACCTAAGAATCCAGGAAGGAATTCCGACACTTCAATTTGTGTTTCGTAAAAAGCACGGAACAATTGAGCAGGTCAACCGGATATCATCATAAATTCGGATCGCGTTCGAAAAACGAGATACTGTACTGCCATATTTGTAGATGTCTCTGAAGCATTTGATAGAGTTTGACTAAAAGGTCTAATGTACAAGATCAAGACAATGCTCCCCTACAACACCCACAAGCTTTTAGAGTCTTACCTCTACGACAGAAAATTTGCTGTGACTATTGGAGCTGGAGTTCGTGTTTGGCCAACATTATATGACCTTTACACAGCAGACATCCCAACAAGCACACGACTAACAACATCTACGTTTGCTGATGATACAGCTATTCTTAGCCGCTCAAAATGCCCGATGCAAGCAACTGCGCAGCTAGCTCTTCATCTGGTCGATGTTGAAAAGTGGCTATCAGATTGGCGAATTAAAGTGAACGAAACCTAAACAGGCAAAACTGCTCGCCCCTCATGTTAAACCACACACTACGCCTGCAAGTGACATATCTAGAAGTACACCTCGACAGAAGACTCACATGGCGCCGGCAATTGAAGCCAAAAGAACACACCTAAAGCTAAAAGCCAGTAGCCTTCATTGGCTTATCAACGCTCAGTCTCCCCTTAGCCTTGAATATAAAGTCCTGCTGTATAACTCGGTACTAAAACCTATAATGCTGTACGGCTCTCAGTTATGAGGGAATGAATAGCAATATTGACATAATCCAGCGAGCTCAGTCGAACAATCACCGGGGCACCGTGGTACGTTCGCAACGAAAACATACAGTGAAAGAAGTGATCGCAGAACAGAAGGAAAAGTGCTTTACCAAGCTATTGTTGCACCGTAACCATCTTGCGAGAGGTCTTACAAGGTTGAGCAACCAATCACGCCTTCGTCGCAATAACTTACCCACCCAGCGACTGATTTGAGAGACGCGCAACCAGAATGCAGTCTTAATATACTGTTAGTTAAATTTTAATATTAAGATTCGTAAACTTATTGTTAGTCTCAAAATTAAGAGACGATTCAATAAATAAAAGCAAAGTTAAAAAAAAAAAAGTTCAAAAGGATGGCTCAGTCCGTCTCTGTGGCGATTATAAGTAAACTTTAAACCAAGCCATCAAACCACACTGCCATCGGATACCATCGATCAGCACATTGTTGGCATCAATTAAGTGAGGGTGGATCAATATTTGCCAAAATCGATTTTTCACAAGCCTATCAGCAAATTGTTAT